CGGCTCGAGGAGAGACGGTGGGAGACCCGCCCCCGCCGCCGCGGGCTGCGCGCTGGGCAGAGGTGGCAGGGATGGGTGGACGCGGAGCAGCTCCGCCAGCCGCCATCCTTCGAGCCTCGGACGCCTCCCGCTGCGCTATATAGGGGAGGGAGGGGTGGCGGAGGGGTGGGTGTCCGGCGTGGCCAAAGCGCACAGGGCAGCGATGCCTCCTGCTAGGGGAGCGCACAAGTGACCGACGCCTCTTCCCACGTCTGCCTCCTGAAGCAACCCTCCCGTCCTGGCATGGATGTGGCCAATCACACTACCTCCCCAGAGCACTCCCTCGAGGGTGCAGGAGGCCTCGGGGGCCTCGCCGAGGTGACCCTGGGCTACCAGCTGCTCACCTCCCTGCTCCTGGGCATGCTCATCCTGTGCGTTGTGAGTGGTAACACCTGCGTGATCACAGCCATCACCCTGGAGCACTCCCTGCAAACCGTGGCCAACTATCTCATCGGCTTGCTGACTGTCACAGACCTCATGGTGTCCTTGCTGGTGCTGCCCTCTACCAGGTGCTGAACAAGTGGACACTGGGGCAAGTCACCTGTGACATCTTCATCTCGCTGGGCATGCTGTGCTGCACCTCTTCCATCCTGCACCTGAGCTCCATCGCCTTGGACAGGTACTGGGCCATCACGAACCCCATCAACTATGTCAAGAAGTGGACTCCCCAGAGTGCTGCCATGCTCATCAGCTTTACCTGGCTCATCAGCTTCTTGATATCCATCCCGCCCATGCTGGGACACCTGAGGACTGCTCGGACCCTGACACCTGCACCATCAGCAAGGACTATGGGTACACCCTTTACTCCACCTTCAGCACCTTCTACATCCCGCTTCTCCTCATGCTGGTGCTCTACGGCCGCATCTTCAAGGCAACCCACTTCAGGATCCGCAAGACCATCAAGAAAGCGGAGAAGAAGAAAATTGCCGACACTTGCCTCACTGTCTCCCCAGCCACTCTGCAGAAGAAAAGCAACAGGGAGCCTGGCAAGGGTTGGCAGTGGACTGTGGACCCTAAGCCCAGCACCTGTGTCAATGGCATGGTGCAGCAGGGCAAGGACGGGGCCACCCTGGAGATCATCGAGGTCCAGCACTGCAACAGCTCCTCCAAGACTCACCTGCTTCTGCCCAGCAAGGCATGTGGATCCCCGCTGCCACCCTCCTTTGAGAGGCGCAATGAGAAGAAAATGGAGGCCAAGCGAAGGATGGCTCTGTCCCAGGAGAGGAAGACTGTCAAGACCCTGGGCATCATTATGGACACCTTCATCCTCTGCTGGCTGCCATTCTGCATTGTGGCACTGGTCCTGCCCTTTTGTGACAGTAAGTACTACATGCCCGAGTGGCTGGGGGCAGTCATCAACTGGCTGGACTACTCCAACTCTCTCCTCAACCCTATCATCTATGCCTATTTCAACAAAGACTTCCAAAGTGCTTTTAAGAAAATTATCTTGTGTAAATTTTGCAGGCAGTGAAGCCCTC